CAGGGAGGAGGGCTTTCATGTTTAAGAGATGCTATTTGCTTTTTAGGTCACAGGCTGCAAAAACAGGCTTTGATCCGAAGTGGGCGAATAATTTATTGAGAAAGTTTGCATGGTAGGAGAAAAAAGGGATGTTTGTTTGATCTGGAGCCTTCTCAGTTGTCCCAAGTGCTGTTGGCTGTTGTTTTGAGTGGAAGAGCATTTGGTTCTGCAGCAAATGCCTCTCAGAGGGAAGTCCTCACCCCAGGCAGCAGGACTTACAGTGAATGTTGGTTTTGAAACTGTTTGGCCAAGGGTCTTCCCAGCACTTTGGGAGATGAAGTGTTTAAGGATAGAGTTATTTGGGCTCAGGATGCAGCAAACGTTTCCAGAACATTTTCCCATCCAAAATGCTTTTCCTTTCCCTAAATTGCCTGGCCAAACAGCCAGTACCAGTGATCCAAGAGGCTGTCAGAAATCTCCACTTAGCTTTCATTGACAGGTGAGGTGGGACTGCTGGTCCCCGGGCCCCAGACACACCGCAGTCTTGCAGTTAGGCCTTTGACACTGACTCTCACATCCTTTTGGTTGGGGGCAGGGTGTTCTGGTTGTAACCAGTGCTCCTGCTCACAAGGAGGTGGTTGTCTTATGCTCAGCCTAGGGAAGAGGCTTCCAGTCCTGATTCTTCAGAGCACTTGCAGCAGGCTCTCTGGGACCTAAAAGTTCTCTCTTTGGGTTCTCTGAGGGGGAGGACAGGTGAGAGTTGGGGGGATTAGGATACCCCTGGCTTGCCGTGTCCTCCACAAAGGACCCATACCATGTGGCTCAAAAGCCACAGGTGCCAGCTCAAAGCTCCCCTTCAGACAGCCCATAGGAATTACCCCATCCACACCCAGGAACTTACAGGCCTGTACACTTTAGCCCCCCGGGGATGGGGTACACCCTCTGGAGTCAGCTTAGGTTTGAATCCTGCCTGTGCAGTTGCCAGCTGTGATAATGGCTCTGTGCCTCAGTTTCTTTATCTGCTTAATAACAGCACCTGCCTCATGGTGGGTGTGCAGAGTGAGCGACACATTGCCTAAGAAAGACTTAGGCCCAAAGCCGGGCATGTGGTAAGTACTTGATTGGCATTAGCCATTATTACTGTTTTTATTAATGACCTGGGGAGGGCCCCAATGCAGCTTTGACCTTTGATCTCTCACCTTTAGGCTAGGCCAGAGAGCCAACTCCCTTCTTTGAAGAAGGGGTCAGAGGATCCTGCCGAGGCCAATGGGCAGCCAGATGTGGGAGCGAGCGGCCTGAGCTTCACCCTCTCTGAGGCGAAGAAGAGGGTGAGGAAGGGCTAAAGGACAAAGTAGACCAAGCCCTCATTCTCCCAGCGCCCCTTGGTGTGTCCCCAGAAATGGCCCAGAGGGCGGGCGTGGGCAGCATGTGCTAGGGGAGCCGGGTGCCCTCTGGGACACTTGGAATGGCAGGTGGGCCGTGATGGGCGTCGAAGGAGGGTTCGGCTCCCCAAGGCTTGGAGAAGCAGTTGTGAAGCCGGGGAGAGGGCTCCAGGCAGCAGGCCTCTCCCCTGTGTGTGCAGAATCATTTTTGTAACTGCAATTGCTGTCCCCGAGAAGGCATTAAAGTTAATGAGAGATAGGGAAGAGTGGGGCTCTGACCCCCACTTAAAGCGGTTTAAGAGTGTGCAGCTCTTGTTTTCTGAATGTCTGGCCTTCCCGACACAAGGAGGCTCTGAGGACAGGTTTTCCAGCCGAAATATCATTAAATTGTATTAGCATCTTATTACACACACGCCTTAGCGGTCTGCCTCAGACAGGGAGAGTTTTTGTTTCTCTTTGAAAGATTGTGTCTGGAATGGTAAATTGCCTGCTTGAAAGCCCTTTTTCCCCCCCTTTTTTAAAGGAGGAGGACGAAATCCTGCTGTGTGTGGTGGCGGGCAGGGCAGGCCTGGTGGCCCCTGGAGAGGAGAAGCTGGAGGCCAGGTTGGGGTGTTTTAACTGCCCGGGGAGCGGCTGCAGTAGCCGGCCTGAAAGGCCCACTGTTCCCAGGGTCAGCTGGAAGGGCGTTAATGGAGGCCCGGGGTGTTTATTTGAGTTTGTTTGCAGAGAGGTCTTTAAAGGGGGCTGGCATTGGGCATTGGTGTTTCAGGTCCAGACCCGAGGCCCCCACCAAGACCCATGGCTAGTGCTGCCAAGAAAACATCTGCCACCAAATTGCTGCCCTATTACTGAGTTGACATTGATCATTAGCCAGGAGCCCAACCAAATAAAGCCTCTTGGAAAATGTGTGAGGTTAAGACGGGGAAGGCGGGCTGTGAAAACAGGGTGAAATCTTGGGCTGGGGTGTTTGTTCCTGCAAGCCACAGGCAGGCCAGCTGGGCTGTGTGGTCCCAGCACTTCTGGCGGGAGGGGACAAGAGCACACTCAGCACTCCCTATTATGTGCTGGGTGCAGTGCGAGGGGGTTGCTGAGGGATCTGGACAGAAAGCTCCCTACTCCTCGTGGAACGTACATAGCCAAGGAGAAGGACGTTCAACAAGTAGCCCGACAAACAGCAGCTGTGACGGGTGCTCTGAAGACACCGGGTGGTGCATGTCCTTAGATGGGTGATCGGCATAGACTGACATAGGCCACGTTTAAGCTCAGACCTGAAGGGGGAAGAGTCAGACGTGCACAGACCACATAAAAGAGCATTACAGGCAGTGAGCGCCCCTGAGCACAGGTCTCGCAGCGTGGACTCTGGCTCGTGCGAGGGAGTGAAAGAAGGCCAGCGTGGCTAGAAGGTGGTAAGGAAGGGGTGATACGAGCTTGTCGAGGTAGGCAGGGGCCGGATTGAGTGGGGTCTTGTGGTCAGGAGCTGGAGATTTGCCCTTTGGTCAGCAGGAAGCCTTTGAAAGATTTTTGATAGGGATGCAATGTGATCTGAATTTATGCTTTAATTTTTTTTTTTTTTTAGAGATGGGGTCTTGCTGTGTTACCCAGGCTGGACTTGAACTCCTGGGCTCAAGCAATCCTTCCACCTAACCTCCCAAGTAGCTGGGGCTATGGGGACAAGCCACCACGTCCAGCTAATTTTTTCTGTTTTTTAGAGACGCGGTCTTGCTGTGTTGCCCAGGCTGGTGTCAAACTGGCCGCAAGTGATCCTCCCACCTCAGCCCCCTGGGCAGCTGGCACTGGGCACCATCGCTCGGGGCCTCTGTTTTATGCTTCTAAAGATTGGCTCTGTGTGGAGTCTGGATGATGGGGGAGCGGTGCCGCGAGCTGGGAGATGAACAAGGGCTCCAGGCGAGGGATGAGGGTGGCTTGGATCAGCGAGGTGACAGCAGAGATGGAAAACGTGGCTGCGTTCTGGAGGCAGAGCCCAGTGGACTTGCCGAGCACTGGCTGTGGGACAGAGCGGCTCAGAGAGGCTGTGGGCGTCCTTTCCATTGAGGGGACTCTAGGGCACCCTCACCCTGAAGGAAAGCTCCCTCCAGGTGTCTATGTGCTGGGGTTGACATGACAGGTGCAGATGGCAGGAAAAGAGAGCCCTTCTTTCCTAGAGTCTCCTGTGTAGGTAGGATTTCAGGAGCACTTTCTGTCCCTAAAAGCAAGTGCCTTGTGACACTGAGATACTCTTCTCCCAGAGCAGACTTTGCTTTGAGGGAGACGGGAGGGGCCAGTGGAGAGGGAGAACCAGAGGCCAAGACCGAGTCCCAGTACCTCCTCCCAGCTCCGTTTGCAGTCCTGGATTTCAGCTTTGGCAAAGCGGCCCTCCGTGCCCGCTTACTGGGTTGGGGACCAGGGTGATTCACGGGAAAGAAGGTGTCTCATGGGGGCCCAGGCCTCACTTGGAGCTTCGTCAGCCACTCTGACAGGGAGGGCTCAACTTGGGGTAGGCAGGCCTTTGGGAAAGACCTGGTTCAAAGGAAAGAAGCTTCACTTACAAAACAGTGACTTCCCTCTGAAAACTAGTTATTACTCCAATTAAGCCGCCACACAATCCGCTCGCTTAATAACAGCCTGTCGTGGGGCAGCCCTGACCCAGAAGCACGATCCCTGGGCACTCTGGGGCATTTTGGGGAGGACAGGTTGGACGGGGAACTGGCTTGGGGTGGGGTGGAGGCCTGCGTTGCTGGTAGTCACCTGTTGGTCCCTGGACAGTAGGAAACGGCATCGTGACAAGGACGTGGGCAGTCAAGGCGTCCGTTCTAGGGGACCTTCCTTACTGTGTAAGGTCACTGCCCCCTCTGTCAGAGGAGCCCCCCCAGGTGAGCACGGGTGGGGACTCTCCGACCTGGCCCAGGACTGCCGTGGGATTAGTAGCTCGCACCTGCGTGGGTCTCCAGCCACGGTGCTCGGGGCTGCACACTGCTCTCACCGACGCCCGCCGGCTGATTCTGGCCTGCACACATGTTTAGTTTGGCCCTCGCGAAGTGTTTTAAAAATTCTGACTCAGTTGCCAACATTTTAAATTCAGGAAATTTATGTAAAAAGCCAGATCCAGTCTTCTGGGAGGCATGTCTTTCCCATCGTCCTTAGTCTAGCGAGCGGTGGAGCTAGGATCTGAACTTGTCGCCCTGGACCCTCAGCCCCTACTTTCAGTGCTGTGGGAGACCCTGGCCGGGAAGTGCCCCCTTTGCTGGAAAGGAAGGGAAGTGGAATTCATGCTTGCAACTGCAGGAGAGAAACGGGTGGGTGCGTTCGTAGCACCTCTCCCCTTGGTCCTGCCCCAACAGCGACAGAGCAGAGCTGGGCTGGGTAAGAGGCAGCCTTCCCCACCCTCTTTTAATTTTTTATTTTATTATTTAGTTTTTTTAGAGATAGGGTCTTGCTTTGTTGCCAAGTATGAGGATAGTGGCATGATTATAGCTCACTGCAACCCCAAACTCCTGGCCTCGAGTGATCCTCCTCCCTCAGCCTCCAGAGTAGCTGGGACTACAGGCGCGCGCCACCGCGCCCGGCTAATTTTTTTGTATTTTTTGTAGAGACGGGGTCTCGGCTATGTTGCTCAGGCTGGTCTCCAACTCCTGACCTCAAGCGATCTCCTGCCTCGGCCTCCCAAAGTGCTGGTCCTCACACTCTGGACGCTCAGACCCTGGAGGGCAGCGAGGGTGGCAGCTGTGGGTTGTCGGGCAGGGCAGTCTGAAGGTCAAAAGCGTGGTCTCCTGAGTCATGCGCAAGCACTGTCGACTTGGGCAAGTCACTTAACCCCTGAGCTTCAGTATTCTCCTCTGCAAGAGGGAGGTGGCCGTCATACCCACCCACAAAGAAGGGCTATTCTAAGTGCTCAGTGAGGTCTGTGTGTCCCCAGGTGCCACCTGCCTCAGTGAGTGCTCAGCGGTCTTAGCCGTCCTTGATCCTGCCTCCCTGGCATCCAAGCTGCTGACACTCCCAGGTGTCCCTTGGCACCTCACCCTCTGGAGGGCACTTTACCTGCACCTTTGGAGCTGGGCAGCAACCATTGAGCCTTCCTGCCATCCTGCTCCTGCTGCTGGGGGACAAGGGTGGAGAGAAATCCCTGGCTGAGGTCGAGTCTGAGGTGGGAGGGGCGTCCTGGTCAGCTCAGAGATCTGGGTGGTCACACGGGCCTTAGAGAACAGATGCTCGCTGGTCTCTGCAGGGCCACAGTGAGATAGGGGCACCCCAGGGCTCAGCAGGAACAGCCGGGGGCTGGCGCAGCAGCTGTTAGGCAGGAGATAGGATCCTGAGCTGGGGTGGGGAACCTGCGTGACCTGCAGGTGGGTGGGCCAGGGGGCCTTCTCCCGACACAGACTCCCTCTGCGGCCTGTGCTGTGGTCAGTGAGGCCGTTTCAGGAGGAGCAGGAAGGTGGCGGGAACGCTCTGAACTTTGAGCCCCGGCTCTGTGGTCACGTTAGGGCTCAGCCGCAGGCAGGCCGTAAGACCCTGAGCAGGCGAGCAAGGTGTGCTCCCCTCTCAGGGGACCAGAGCAGGCTCTGCCACCAGGCCTCTTCCGGGAGTCACGCAGATAATGGGATAATGGGTGGGAAAACACTTCCCACCGGCAGGAGCTGATGGAGGCCACAAAGGCAGCCCAGCGTGGGCTCGGGGACCAGACCTCGCAGCAAATCCCATTTCGGCCCATGACTAGCGGGACAAGGCGCTGAGCCTCAGCTGTAAATGGAGCTGGCAGGTCACCCCTCCCCTGCTAGGAACAGGAGACAGTGTGGCTGGATGGAGGAAGCGCCCTGAGCTCTGTGTGAGCTTGTGTGAGGCCGGCATGTGAGAGTCGCCCTATTGCCTTGAAGTTAGATATTCCAGGTGAGATAAAGTGGGTTTGTGCTTCTGTCTGGGGCAGGAGGGCAGGGCAGCCCAGCCCAGGGCCAGACGCCTGGCGCGTGTGTCTCAGGGGCCTAGCTGGAACTTCCCCCGCCCCCATCCATTTCTGTACCTGCTGACCCCCACTCTCAGGACCGTGCCCTCGGTGCTGTCTGTGCTGGCTTGTCCCCAACTTTGGATAGTCTGATCCTCCTGGAAAAATCAGTCTTGTTTCTACCCTCCCCACTCCCTAGAGGGGGTGCAGCTCAGGAGGCCTTTGCAGTGGGAGGGGTAGATTTGCTGGTGGGCCTCAGTTCCTTGAGTGGAGGCTGGGGCTGGGCAGGTCCTGGTCACTGTCAAGTCTGAGCCTGCTGAGCCCCCATGCCCTCTCTCTGTGTCAGCTTTGGCCACCCTCCTGCTTGTCTGAGGGCTCTCAACTCGGGAGGGGGGAGATGCAGCCTCCTCTCTGAACCCAGGAGCTCTGTGGGTGGGTGGGAGAGGGTGGGGCTGTTCTAGACAAAGGCTGGGGCAAGAGCTTATCCTTCTGCGGTGGAGTAAGCGTGGGGTGGTAGCTCGTGGGGTGATTTTCTGAGAGGTTGAGGATTTCCCAAGGCACGAGTATAATGGGCCTGCCTTTTGTTGCAGATGGAAGAGAAGAGACGAAAATACTCCATCAGCAGCGACAACTCCGACACCACTGACAGTAAGGCCTTCCAGTCTGGGGCTCCTATGGGGGAGGCATTTGGATGACTATCAGGCCCCTGGGCCCAGGTGGGAGGAGGCTGCCCCACGCCTTAGCTTGACCAAGGGGCATGTCGATGAAAGCATAAATCGAGTCAGGTCCCTCTGCCCCAAAGCAAGTCCCTGTGCTTTACCATGGCCTTCAGGTCCTTGTTCTCTTCACTCTACTCCTTTTTACCCTCTAGGCCTCAGCTGCACTTGTTTTTCTCTGGTTGGAACAGAACAACCCCCCTGGGGGGCCTTTGTATAGGTTGAATCAGGGCCCTTATAGGAAATCTCTGTGAAACAGACACAAAACCTGTTGCTCTGTTGTAATTACTGGATGAGTATGATTTCCTAACCAGTGGTGAGCTCACTGATAAGAGGGCTCATGTCTTGCTTGCTGCCGTATTCCCTCTACGATCTGGCACATAGTAGGTGCTCAGAAAATGTTTGCTGAACAATGAACAAAGGAGGCTGTCCTTCATGGGATCTTGGCAACAGAATCTCAGAGGTAGACTCGTGTGTGGGGTGGGTGTGTCAGTTGGATGTCTGGTAGGGGGGTGCATTGTCAAGGAAAAAATGGGGTTTAGGGAGCCTCCCCTGAAATTTGGAGAAGAGAAAAGAGGTTCGCACGAGGTGAGAGCTCTGGGACGAGGTCACCGGGCAGCTCCTCTCAGATGCTCCAGGAAGCGAGGCCTGCCTGTGCCTGTCGGAGCGAGGAGTTCCGTCTGCCGTGGGCGGGAGGGGTGTGCTGCCGGGAGCATCCTGCCCGGCAGTGGTCGGCCTCAGGGATGCGCCGGCTGAGGGAGAGGCTGCACTGCCAGGGAGGCCAGGCCTGCAGCCCTGCAACTCTGACCTGTTTATTCACACATGTGGTATACGAGTGGGATTGAGGGGATCTCTGAGGCCCCTCCTAGCACCCCGAGTTCCATAGCCCCCCAGAGCCTGAGGATAGATGTACTGACACAGCTGATCAGGTCCCAGTCCCTTCCCTACCTCCAGGCCTCAATCATTGTCCTTGGGGTTCTTTTTGCTCAGTTTGGCCGTGGTGTGAACCTGGCCGGCCCTTCCTCCCTGCAGCCAGAGAGCACAGCATTCGGCCTTCTGTGGCTGCAGCGCACTCCCTGTGGTCTGGCTCGGTAGAACCAAGAACTGCGTCCTCCGCTTTGAACCTTACTGCAGGCCAAGGAGCCCTTCGAGAGGGCCGGGTACTCCGAAGGGTGTATGCCTTGGAGCTGTGTCAGGGTTGGGCCAGGCTGGGGCCAACTCCCTCCCCACCAGCCCCCACCACTGTGCACACCCGTGGCTGCTGCCCCTGTTCAGCCAAAGCCTTGGGGTCTCCCCATGGCCCTTCTTGCTGTTCCTTTACCTTGCAGGGGCAGAGGCACTGCCCTGAAGTCCAGCAAGGGCCTTAGAGCCTAATAACAGTAGCTAGTATTTGTTGAGGAATCACTGTATGCCAGGACAGTGCTGAGATTTAGCAGACACGTTATCATTTGATCCTCACGACAACCCCTTGAAGACAGTTATTCTCGTGCCGTCATTTTATGGAAGAACAAACTAGGGATTGGAGAGATAAAGTTGTTTGCCCAGGGTGACAAGCTAGTGAGTGGCAGGGTCAGGGCTCAAGCTGGTAGTCTGTGGGTCTACTTCAGAGCAACACTCTTCCCACTGCCCTGCCCTGCCTCCGTGTAGCCGCTGGGCATCTCGCCATAGTATCGTGATGGTACCTAACCCGGGGCATTGTGGAGAGTGGGCACGGAAGGCTTATTGCAGCTTTATGAGACCAGGGCAGACACAGAAGCCCAAAGAAGCCCGGCAGCTTTTCTGGAGTCGCATAGTAAACTAATCCTGAGCCCTCGTAACTGCCTTTGGTTTCCCCGGCCCCTTCTGCTTGGTGAGTGGAGGAGGCTTCGTGTGCCCATTCCTCAGTGGGCAGACTGAGGCCCAGAGCAGGCGCAGTCCACCAGGTGGTCACAGACGTCTCCTCTTCCTGAACATTCAAGCCAGGGCTCCCTACAGGCTTCCTGTCCTTGGACACGGGCGAGCGGTGTTCTTGGCCCGCCAGGACCCCTCACGGACCGTCCTCTCTCTGCAGGTCACGCTACATCCACGTCGGCGTCAAGATGCTCCAAACTGCCCAGCAGCACCAAGTCGGGCTGGCCCCGGCAGAACAACGAAAAGAAGCCCTCCGAGGTGGGTGGTGACAGGCTTCCCAGAGGCCCTGGGGAGGGAGAGCGGGTGGCTGTGAGGATGCGGCGTGGGGGGAGGTGGCGCGTTCCTGGCAGTGCCGGGAGGCCAGTGTGGCTGCGTGGATGGACAGGGTGGGGCCGACACCTGAGCTTTGTGGGCTGTCATGAAGAGGTTCCTGCTGATCCGAGAGGGGGAGCTTTGCAAGGATCGCAAACAGGGTGACGTCACAGTCCGATGTTGTAATGGAAAGTCCCACCGGCCGCTATGACAAAGGGAGACATTCGCAGTTGTCCAGCAGTGCTTAGAGCCAGTGGCTTAGAGCTGGGTGGTAGGAGAGGAGTCAGAAGCCCTAGGATTGGTGCTCAGATTAAATTGTCCAAAAAAAAATTAATTAATTAAAAAAAAAAGCAGTCAGATTTACGACATTTTGGAGGCTGAGCCAAGGGTGACAAAGATTAGCTAACGTGGGGGTAAAGGCTTGGGGCCCCAGCACCATCCAGTGAGTCACGGGCTCCTTAGTAAGCCCATTTCACTGGTGCCTGTGTTTGGAGCCTTCCTTGCTTTGCCCTGGGCTGTTTCTTAAAGCAGGGAGTGCGCGTGGCCTCTGGAGCTGTTGGGGAGAGCACTGGGGTGGGCAGACTGATGGACGTTGGGCCCTGCCTCCCGCTTTCCCTGAAAAATCACGTCCTAGGGCCCTCGTGCTCCTTCTCAGGTCTCCGGTGCTGATGCACTAGGCATTCACTGTACCGCGCACAGAGACCTTTGGCAAGATGGGCAGTAGGAGCATCGAGAGGTGGGGGTTTCAAATCTGGCCTTTTTTTGGAGACAGGGTCTCGCTCTGTTGCCCAGGCTAGAGTGCTGTGGTGTCAGCCTAGCTCACAGCAACCTCAAACTCCTGGGCTGAAGTGATCCTCCTGCCTCAGCCTCCCCAGTAGCTGGGACTACAGGCAAGCGCCACCACGCCCGCCTAATTTTTTCTATTTTTAGTAGAGACAGGGTCTCGCTATTGTTCAGACTGAGCTCAAGTGATCCTCCAGCCTTGGCCTCCCAGAGTGCTAGGATTACAGGCGTGAGCCACCTTGCCTGGCCCCAAATCTGGCCCTTAAGCGGGACAGTGTACCGCAGCCTGCAGAGTGGCCAGGCTCTGGGCTGGACGCTGCTGGAGTTGCTGAAACTAGCCCACGGTTCTCAGTCCTGTTGTAGATGAGGAAAGTCAGGATCCCAAGGTCATAAGAGCCAAGACCTTAAGTCCATGGGCTAATGGTGCCAAGGGCGGGAAGGCCCAGAGTTCCGGGGCAGAGCCCTTGGCATGGGGTGGGGGAGGGTGTCTTTGTCAAGCCAGTGCCGTCTTCTTCCCCCCCTCACCACAGGGGCAATCCTGGTGCCTAGTCTTCGGACAGCCCCTGGGTGCTTCCACCAAGCTTTGCATTTGAAAAAGCACCTCTCTTCCTCTTCGTCCCCCTCCTCCCCCTTCCTCTCCTCCTCCTCCCCTCCCCCTCGGTCTCTTTCCCCTCCCGCTGCCCTACCCTAGGATCCTCCCCTTTGGAGGTGGGAGCGGGGGGGCCTTTGAGTCCTGACGCCCCATCTTCCCTGCCCCCGCCAAGTCTGAGGTCCTTCCCTGAGCCCGTGGGGGTGGGGTGGAGATGGCTGGGACGTCTCTAGGAGTGCAGTTAAGGGCGGGGAATGCGGATGGGGGAGGCGGAGGATGTTGGCTCTCTGGAGTCGCCCTGCTGGGTGGGGGATGGGACGTGCATAAGTGCAGCCTGGGAGGCTAAAGGCAGGTGGGGCCTTGGGGGGCCCTGCCCCCTCTTAGCTGGGACCTCCTCTCAGGGACTCCCCAGTTGCAGTGGTTGAATTAGTAAAACAGTAGCCACGTTTTTGTGCCTTCCTGGTCCTGGGAAGCATGCTGTCAGGGGCGGTTTGGTTGAAGTGGGGGGGAGTTCTGACTCCCCGGAGAGCTCAAGCCAGTCTCCTGCCCCCGCCCCACTCTCTGCAGGCACCGTGGGAGGAGGAGCTGCCTCCCCCATGCACAGGCGGCAGGGCTGCCCTCCATACCTAGGATCAGGCTGCCTGGGAGGAAACAGGTGTCCGCAGAGGCTGAGAAAAAAGGTTAATTTGCATGGGGCCAGGGCAGGATGGGGCAGGGCCTGCACACGCCTGTAATCCTAGCACTTTGGGAAGCTGAGGTGGGAGCATGGCTTGAGGCCAGGAGTCTGAGGCTGCAGTGAGCTATGATGAGGCCACGGCCCTCCAGCCTGGGTGACAGAGGGAGACTCTGTCTGAAGAAACAAAACAAAACAAAATTTGCATGGGGCAGAAAATTCCCTCTTGGGTTTTCCAGCCCAGAGCCTTTGTACCTTTCCCCACCTGGAAATAGTGAAACCATGAGAAGAGTCCCCTGCTGGGGACTGGCTATGCACGGGGTCTGTCCGGGAGACACCTGCCCTCTGAAGTCTGGGATTCCAGGAGGGCTGAGGAAGCCTCCCCACCTTGAAGCCTTAAACTGCCAAGGACAAGCTTTTCCTCCCACAGGGGGCTGGCGAGCAGCGTGGGAGGTTTCCCTTGTCCCCTGAGTGAGAAGGTTGAGCCATGACCGGCACAAGTTCCGAGTCACCGTGGGGAGAGAGGAAGCGGTTAGTGGAAGCTTCCACATTACTTGGCTCCTGAGCAGGTGGAGACAAGCGAGGTTGCGGCGGCAGAGAATGTCTGCGCTGAGTCTCCTGGCTGGGCTGTGAATGGGTTGGAGGTGAGGGGCCCTTTATAGTCTTCTGGGCTTGGGGGCCAAGGGCCTTGGACACCCCGGGGAAGGGGCTCTGGGAACCCCATCTGCCCAGTCCTCTGGAGCATGAAGCCTGCGGAGTGGCTGCCGGGCTGCTCGCGTGGTCTGCTCTTGGTCTGGCACAGGTCCCCAGCGGGGACGCTTGCAGAACCATGCGTGCGGCGCAGAAACCGCCCCCTCCGCGGCTGCAGAGCCCTGGAACCTGTGGTTCACTCGGCTCCTCATCTCGGAACGGGGATGGTGAGGGCGCTCAGCAGAGCACAGGCAGGGGCCTGGCGACCCCACAGCCGTGAGAGGCTGGGGTTGGGTTTGGGTGAGACACACAGGGAGCCCTGTGATGACGAGTCGGGGGTCCCCCGGCAGTGCAAATCATGGGGCAGCCTACGCTAAGTGAGGTGCCCCAGGGCCGAAGAAATTGCTCAGGACCCTGTCCGGGCCTGAGTCAGGACCCTGGACAGGGCTAAGGGCCTCCAGGCCCATCTGGCCCTTTCCCAGCAAGTGACCCCCCCTCAGCCGGAGTGCAGGAGGAGTGCCGGCTCAGTACTGAGGCCAGGAGGACGGGCCGGGACTCCCCAGAGGTCAGGCACACAGTCTGAAGTCTGCCCCGGATGCCCTTGGGCAGTGGAAGGAACAGGCAGGGCAGCCCCTGGGCACCCAGGCCGCTGCCTTCCTCTACCTGTGGGATCCCAGCAAACCCGAAATCTGTGCCTTGGCCCTTAAGTCCTAAAGGGAGGGAGGGGATTGGCCTGGCCTGGATTGCTGAGGTCTTGGGTTTCTGGCCTGGCCTCTTTCACCCAATGGCGCAGCGACTGTTAGCGCTTAACCCTCTGTGGGACACAGCTCACCCCGCCCCCAGGGATTCTGACTTAAATGGTCTGTTGTAGTGCCCCAGGCACCTGTGTTATCTTTGGTATAGAGGTCTGGGGTACAGGTGTCATTTTGCTACGTGGTTATATTGCGTGGGGGCACAGTGAAGGCCTCAGTGTGCCCATCGCTGGAATAGCGCGCCTTGTACCCGCTAAGGAATTTCCTACCACCCAGCCCCCTCCAACCCCCCAACCTGTACTTTTTAAAACACCTCCTGTTGGGAGCCAGGGTTGGGAATTACTCCATAGACTTCTGCCTCTTTTTGCCTAAGACAAGAGTTTCTGGCTTGGTTGCTGCCTGAAAGCTTGGGGGTTTTTAGGGGCGAGATTAGAAGCTGTGGCTGGGTCGAAGGAGGAAGGAGAGGCTGCTCAAAGACCTAAGCCAAGGCAGGGAGTGTGGGTGGGGGTGGTCCCCCCAGCCCATCCCCTTCCTACAGGGGATAGGGGACTGACAAGTTTCTGCCCAGCCCTAGACCTGCGGGGTGGTGAACCGGGGGTGTGAAAGGCGCTTCTGGCAGAGCCTGGGAGGCCAGCCCTGCAGCCTGGAAGCCGCTGTTCGAGGCTGTCGTCTGCAGGCCCGGGGCAGAGAGGCAGTGGGTTTCCCCAGGCAGCCTGGCTTGAGGTAGAAAGCCGTGTTTTCAGGAAGTCAGAGTCGTCAGAAGTCAGCCAGTAGGCAGAGAAGAGACGTGGGTCTTTGGACGGGAACCGCAGGCGCTGATTAAAATCAGCAAGCAGCCAAGAGCACCTATGGGCCTGGCTCAGTGCTGGGGGACAGAACGCGCAGGCCCTGTCCCCGGGGAGCTTGCCCTCCGTCGGCAGGATGCAGGTGCGGCACAGGAAGGTGTCCGTTACGGGCGGGGCAGCAGCCGGCTCTGCCAAAGGCCCAGGCCTTGCCACCAAGGAGGTCTGTGACCCTTGGCACATGAGCCTCAGGGTCATTATTGGTAGAACCTGCCCAGGTGCTGTGATGCGGTTTATGTCCTGTAGGTGTGACTGTCCTGTGCTGAGACTCCTGGAACTCTGGGGTGGGGGGGCCAGAGGCGAGTGGGGCAGGGGGTGGGGAATGTCCATTGAAGCTGGCCATCCCGAGATGGAAGCCTGGGCGGTCCCAGAACGGGGTGGCTGGGAGCTGGGATCCAACTGCAGGCTCCTCTGTAGGCCCTGGTGACAAATTAGCATATCCCTAGATGAGGGAATGGGGGTAATTTGCGTGTGCCACTGGGCCCTTTTGCTGGTGCCCAGCCCCTTGTCCCAGGGGACAGGGCCTGGAGGAAAGAGGGGAGCAGCCTCTACCAGCAAAGGGGTGTCCCCCAGACCCAGAGTCCCCGAAGTTCCTATATAAGGACTGCTTTCCCCCA